TCGCCTTCGGACCTTGGGTTTGTTGCTTTTAGTCTTACCGCTCTTCAACCGACCTGTCTGACATGGTAGGACATTGAGGAACGGTTGTTCCAGCCAGTATAGCTCGGTTGCTTCATCAAGATAGGCAAGCCTAACCACCACGTCAAGGTAGCAACAACGGTCGGGTAAACTGTAAAACATATCTCTCACAACAACTAACCAGTTTAGGTCAGACATTTCTTGAAATATCGACTGTCTTTCAAATATATATATTTGTGTTCCTTTATTCCTGATTTCTGGATTGACTGGGTTTACAAAGCTGTTACGAATAAAAGATTTTTTGGTGGAAGAACACTGATCGTTATTGTAAACTGCAGTCTGTAGTTATGAGGGGTCAGATGACAAAATTTTAGATCACTTGATCGAGAAATTCTAAATCACTTGTGTTGAGAGAGAAACTCAAAGTTTTAAGGTGACCATAATCTATTATTGTGAATACCATCCCTTTCAATGATTTTACAATTAATTTTTTCTACCGACATGTCGAGACGGGTTCGTTAGCAGATTTGAAGTTGAACTTTTAATGTTGCACCTTGATTTTGTGTTTTGAAATTGTTATTCTGAAATCTTCAATAATGGGGAAACACGTATGAATTGGGTATTTGGGAATCCACAAATAAAGTGTGAATACTTGGAAATCGAAGTTCTGATTTCCACGTTCTTTGGTTCTAGAAGGATTTATCGAAACAGGAAAAATTTTTAGGAGCAATGATTATGGATTAATTAATCAAGTTTAATCGATAATGAAGCAAGGTAGTCGACTACAGATGTTGGGTATATTCATTGATGTGTGGGCTGGAAATCGGGGGATCATTTTCGATCAAAAAACCAAAATCCTACCTGTTATTTATTTTGTCTATAAAACTTCATAACACCTCTCCAGATATTTAACTACGCATTGCATTTTCAAGAGTCTAAACAAATAAAGCAGCACAATAATATGGTTTTTTATGCTCTTGAACGGTACAGGAAATTCATAGTATGCCCTAATTCAAAGAATCTTAGAGAAAATTATTTTTCCATATGGAGTCAAGGAAAATGTCATCCAGCAGTGGAATACTATAACTGTCAGGTGACTATATTGCTTAATCGAGGATGATCACTATATGGGCGCGAGTCGTAATCTTTCTTGGTCACCACTTGCCAAACCAAGGTTCACGAACTGTAGGATTGATAGAAGACTTTTAACTGAATTATGTATTTAAATTCTCTTTTGGTAATTATGCGTGTTGCAATGATGGTTTCAGAGGTTTTTCTATATGAATACCGAACGGTTAACAATAGCATCACTGTCCTAAAGATATACTCCCACTATGCCAACTGAAAAATTCGAAGCAAACGGGGAGTTTGCCCGACTTTTCAGCTGGTCTGTCTCTGCTACAACATATATCCATGAGAGTGGAATCTCAGGTCCATTATCAAAGTTTTGTAGTGACTCACATTTATTACGAGAACACGACTGGTTTAATAAAAACAATTATTATTATAACCTACTGTACCAGTGTTTGTTTTAATGTGCTTTTGTTTGACTGTGCTAATGACAGCTATATTATGCTTCCATTCTTATTCTCACACCTTGATTGTGACTTCGCGCGAATTCGGATACGTTCTGTAACCAAGCTTGTGTCCTGGCACGATCTCGGTATCCTTTCGATGCCACGAGATCGCCAGGGAATATATCTCGATTTGGTCCATTAATTGCCTTCTGATATTTGGCTTCTCGGGGATTTTATGGATTTATTTGGTTACGTCCAACCTTCGCCTTCTGATTAACTTGGCACGTGTTTTTTGGTGGCGGTGTTCATAGTTAGTTTCGACTCGACGCCACGCTACAGTTTTATTTACTGCATACGCGGATGTTCGTTTTACATTTTGCATGATTACCTGTACTGCTATCGAAAATGACACTTCACTAAGAAAAGTTCAGTGGAATAATACTGATATCAATAACCATACTTATTGATAATACAACACCGATAGTGTCATAAAAATTTGGAGTTAGGGTCTAGAAATTACCCCTACTTGATAATCATACTTTTTGATACCACCTATGAAGTATTCTATTGATCATAGTTATCAGGTATTAGGAGTTTATTAAGGTTTAAGTTAAAGGTCGGTATTAGTGAACTTACTCGTGTTGCTGAAATAATACACCCTACTTGATAGAGAGAATTGGTACAATGTAACGACCTAATTTTTATTGTCTTACGCTACATCCATGGTTAGTGAGGTCAGGCCATGGGGTAGCAATAATGTTTCCAGGTTGACCTTCTGACTTTAACTATTTTTCTTCATTATACACCAAATGTCCAGTTTTCTCCTGTTTAACGTGAGAACGGTTAAGCTTTGTAATTGATGAGTGGTGAAGATTCAGTGTTATTTAGCCGTCATTACGGTATCACTATATCGTATCACGATTTAGCACATATAAAGGTTGTGCGAATCTCCCCACAAATGATGAAGCAGTATCAGACTTGAAAGAGGAATTGTAACATGGACTGGGATTCTCCTGCTCCCTTAGTAATATTTTGCATTTTCAACCAGCCTACTACTACAGACGTAATTGGATGTTCGGATGTTTGGATAGAATAGAATTAAGAAAACAGCCTGATTGTAAACTGAAGATGAATAAAACTATGGAGATCATTGAGAATAAATCGATTGTTTTCCGCTTGTGTATTATTATGCTTACATGGACATTTTGTTGGATTTACATGTAAAACAGACGGTTGCCTGTCAGTAGTATGTAGTTTCGAGTAAACTGTAGAATTGTTTTTGAATATCAAATCATTTCCCGATATCACTAAATTGGATCGTTCCACTCTCAGAGAGCAATTACGTCATGTCGAACGGACAGCATGTGCTGGCCCATGTAGTGATGGTCACAGTTTGGACTCCTTTATCTCTTGTCAATAACATAATTCCGATAGGACTTTACCTGTTCCATAAAAGAAATACAAAATCAAAATAACATAGGTAACACCCTATAGTAGGGCAGGTTAGGAACTAGATAAATGGAGACTGTCACTCCCACGGACTTCCCAATCGATGTTTGCCCACAATCAATTAAAGAGATTAGCATGGCAATCAGACAAACAAGAGCGGCAAAGCAGCAAGGCCAGACATTATTCTGGCAGAGGCATCGAAAGCAGATGTATCAGTAACTGTAAAGATACTCCACATACTCTTCAACAACATTTGGGATGAGGAACAAGTACCAACAGACTGTAAAGAAGGATACCTGTACAAGATACAGAAGAAAGACGATTTTGGCAAGCGCGATAACAAAAAGACATCACACTTCTCTCAACTCCAGGAAACGTCTTCACAGAGTATTGTCAAACAGAATGAAGGACTCCGTAGACGACCAACTCCGAGACCAACAGGCTGGATTCCGTAAAGATCGATCGTGTACAGACCGAATCACAACACCACGGATCATTGTGGAACAATCAATTAAATGGAATTCATCACTCCACACCAACTTCATTGATTACGAAAAAGCATTTCATAACTTGAACAGGACAACACTATGGAGGCTTCTTCGACACTACGACGTGCCTCAGAAGATAGTCAATATCATATAAAATTCATATGATGGGTTAAACTGCAAAATCGTGCATGGAGGACAGTTGACAAAGTCGTCCGAGGTAAAGACCAGTGTCAGGCACGGTTGCTTACCCTCACCCTTTCTCTTTCTCCTGGTGATCGACTGGATCATGAGGACATCAACATCTGAGGGGAAGCACGGGATACAGTGGACATCTAGGATGCAGCTGGACAATCTGGACTTCACAGGTGATCTGGCTCCTCCAACACACACACAACACCAAATGCAGAAGTCGACCGGTCTAGCAGCATCCTCAGCAGCAGTAGGTCTCAATATACACAAAGAGAAAAGCAAGATTCTCCGATACAACACAGCACGCACCAATCCAGTCACAATTGACCGAGAAGATTTGGAAGATGTAAAAACCTTTACGTATTTGGGCAGCGTCATTGGTGAACAGGGTGGATCTGATGCAGATGTGAAAGCGCGGATCGGAAAAGCAAGAGCAGCATATTTACTACTGAGGAACATCTGGAACTCAGAGCAACTGTCAATCAACACCATGGTCAGGATTTTCAATACAAATGTCAAGGCAGTTCTACTGTATGGGGCAAAAACCTGGAGAACTACGAAAGCCATCATCCAGAAAATACAGGTGTTTATTAACAGTTGTCTACGCAAAATATTTCAGATCCGTTGGCCGGACACTATTAGCAACAACGTACTGTGAGAGAGAACAAACCAGATTCCAGCGGAGGAAGAAATCAGGAAGAAGCGCTGGAAGTGGATAGGACACACATTGAGGAAAGCACATAGCTGTGTCACAAGACAAGCCATCTCCTGGGATCCTCAAGGCCAGAGGAAAAGAAGAACACCAAAGAACACATCGCACCGAGAAATGGAGACAGATATGAAAATAATGAATAAAGATTGGATAGAGCTAGAAAGGAAGGCCCAGAGCAGAGTGAGCTGGAGAATGCTGGTCGGCAGCCTGTACTTCATTGGGAGTAACAGGCGTGAATAAGTAATATCTATTGATTCGAGTGCAAATCTAGCTGCGTCGTCCAGTCCATGACAGAAGACCAATTGCAAGACATTAGTTGTCTTTTAATCGAAAAACGATCGGTACACTGTTCGGCCTTCAGTGACCTGGTAACTGGGTGGTCTATCAAGAACCATGACATTTCACTGTCCTACACTATGGATAGAGTTTCAATCAATACACGACCACTAACAACATTTTCCCGTACAATCAATAAAAACAATGTATGGAAAAATTTCCAAATAGAATGAAGATTTTTATGTACTCGTGAAATAAAAAAGCAGGTTGAGTTTGTTTGAAATTACCAGTATCTCAGATGCATGCACTGTAGTTTGATCAAAATTTTAAAATGAGTGGGAGTTACCGCTTATGATGGATCGAAAATCATCAGTTAATCGTAAGTGTTCAAATATTTTCATATTACACTCAATATTGACATTAACGCTTCCTTTTTCAATAAGCATTTGTCATCAGTTGTCTGTAGAATATTTTAGCAACAAGAGAACAAAGAATACTTATTGTATACTGGTAGCAAGCACTTCCTCGTATATGTTTAAATAATGGCCACTTTTTCGTTTATAACAGCGAAGCAACATCACCTGTATAGCTTTTTTAACGTATCGCTTAAGTTTTTATGTCATTTATGTCATTTCTGAGAAAGATATATACCGCTGTGATACCGTACCTTCATTCGAGACTTAAATATAAGACAAGGTAATTTTCATTTGAAGATGAGAGGTTTCTAGTTTTTGACTCCGAAATCACCTTTACTTTTTACAATGTTTCCCGGCATTTGTTATATATATATCCATGAGACATTTAATTTATAACCTAACAATCAAAGCACATTCCTGGCCTAACAGTTCTAGTAAGTGAACCAAAACTTTTTCCCATATATTCTTGTTTGGAATTAATGTCCAAACCACCAAACTACAGCTTAGTAAATTATTTAAAGTAAGCGGTGCTCCAAATAAACCAGTTTTCGCTGGCACTAAATAGTTACACCATAACATCAGTCTTGATACAACGCGTTTCTAGATATGTTTTCTCCATAGAAAACATGGAACATGGAACATCACAATGTTCAGTTGAGAAGTTCTTTTACAGTTTCAATATGAAAAGGGTGAGAAGCTAGATAGCCTGTGTTAGTCCTGGCAATGGTTGTTTTTCATTTGACTCAGCTTTCTTCTGAAGGCGTCGACAAGTGGAGCTTCAATCACGTATATAGGTAACGAATTTCATTGGTTGATGATTAATTTGCTATGGGTTTGTAAACTGTCTTAGAGTGTCCTTATGAATCCTCTGTTTCGAAAAACAAAAAAATTGGGGGTATTTTAGATCCAAGTGTTTCATTCAGTAATTTAATAAATGTGATCAATTCACCTCTGGTTCTTCGTATGTAACAGGAAGTAGGTTTAGTTTAGCCAGTTGAACATCATATGGGAGGTTTGCGATTCCGGGTGTCAGCTTAGTTGTGGTTCTCTGAATCCTTTCCAACAGCTCATTGTTTTGTTTTAGGTTGTCCGCTTGTATTCAGCATTAGAGTTTAGGACGAACGTATACTGTATAAAAAGTTAAAGGGGTTTTAGCATTGACTTGTCCAACGACTATACGTATGGACCATAGGATCGTAAAACCTTGGACGTCTGTCTCATGGCAGTGTGCAGTATATTTTAAGTCTTGGCAACGATGACTCATAAGACATTGTGTGTGAACAACAGGTAGCTCACTGTTATTCACCGTGGTGACCAATATGCGTTATAATGTGCTCGGAAGCATTTACCGACGACTGCCAAGTTCTAGATAATTCGGGTAATTTCTCCAATTCATCTTGACTCTCAAAAATATCCACTCACTTTTCATCTCTCTCTATATCTTGACAGCATCTGCATATAACGAAACCGATGATGACAGGAGACTAGGAAGGTCATTTACACACAGATGGGAAAATGCTGGTTTCAGAACTGTACGCTGAAGCATTCCGCTAAGTGTAGTTTCCCGGCTCGGCAACTCAGATTTTACTTGTACTCTTTGTGACGCCCAACCAAAAAGTCCTTTTTCTACATTAGTGAAGTGCCTCCATACTCAGTACCACCTAAATTAGATGTCAGTTGGTTGGGAGGAACTTTGTCAAAAGCCTTACTGAAGTCAATATAGGCTACATCCATAGGTAACTTTGGATCTTTAAGGGCTCATCAACTTTCACTGGCTACGAACAAGTTATTGAGACACGAATAATTTGTTCTAAAGCCGTGGTGCTTTTCAGAGAGAGTCCGGTTTTCATCGTGGTACTTAAACAACCTCTTCCAAATAATATCTTCTAAAACAAACAGTCACACTAGTTAGTCGTATTGGTTGATAGTTATCAGGTTTGTGTCTTGTACCTGTTTTGAAGACTGGACTTACTATGGCATTCTTCTAGTCATTTGGCAAACTATTTTGGGTTTCAGATAGACTAGAACATATTCGTAAGGAGTTTGTGATAAAATTTGCCGATTTCTGTAGCAACTCAAGATGTATTTCATCAAGTTTTATGGATTCGCCTATATCAAGCTCATTTAGTAGACCAAAGACATCGAGTTCTTTAATAATCATTGAGTTCACAGTGTGTGTAAGGGGTTGCATGAGAGGAAGAAAAGGGCATCTCTACGGTATATTCATTGTTAAAGTGATTTGAGAATACCTAAGCTTTATCACAGTTGTCCTCCGCTAATGATGCAGCATTTCTGCTCCCCATCTTTACATGTAACATCGTGCTAACACACTTTTTAGAATAAATGGTCTTTGGTTGATTCATATTTCTGAGTGGAATAAATTAGGTGGTTGCCTGATGAATTGAATAAAATGTTTCAGTTCAAATGCTAAGTTAAACGGTTGAAGCTATGATAAATGAGCTTTAGTCTTACTTTGAACATGGAAACCATGAAGCAAGTAGAAACAGGAGCAAAACGTTCGTGTTATCGGTAAAAAACTACTAAAAATATTTTCCAAGCTGTCATAAGATATTTCGACCAACAAACAACCAAGAAAGTTCAGCGGAAAACTTCTTCAAACGAAGTAATTTACTTTCGCTGTACACTAAAATTTGTAGTTGTTTGATTAAACGTATGATTTTGTTAAAGAGCAGATAGAGACTACATCATTCAGTGATCCGAAATTTCAAACAGCAAAATAAGGTTAGCTGGTGACTAAGCAGTTAGATAAGAAAGCAGGATGGAAATAGTGTATGGGTTAGAAATATGAAATATGACGGTGGTCTAACATCAATAGATCCATGATCTCTGTCAAAAACTTAACAAGCTCCACAACCCCATGCTGATGGAAGATGGTTGTCCGATCAACAGAGATGAACAAGAAATGAACAGCATATAGGTCATAATAACAGTTTTGTGATTGATTTGAAAATCGTTAGAGCACATAATGAAATTGATTACGGTTGAAACAGTAAAAAATTATTAACAAAGACGAGATCCAAACATACTTTGAAAAGGAATTAGAACCATGTAGGAGAGGCGGATTCATCATTGGTGGGTAAAAAATGAACCGCAGTGACATTTTGGATCAACTCAATAACTGTTACTTCTTGATTAATTTCACACTTAAAGCAGAGGTAAAAATGAGACTTTCTCTCCTTGATGTCCCATTGAAAAAGGTGGTCAGATGATTCCTTAGAAAGATCTATTCTGTTATTTAAGATATCTCCAGCTATATCTCTTTTGACTTTTCAATACGTGGGCAGATTTAATATAACGCGATAAACAATATTAAAATATGTTTGTTGTTACTGATTGGAATTTATTTTCTGTTCCTCTAAATAAAAAAATTAAATAGCACTTTGAAACAGCCCCCACATTCTTCTATTTTTAAAGAATAAATATTCTTCGCTCTATTCATATTACAATAATTGATGTCATTTCGTTATTCAGATATGTCTTGATTGTTTAGATATACCTATCATATTGGTTCTATCAATTCAAAGATTGCTTTCACGATCCTATATTGTTTCTCAACCTGAAAAAGTGTACTGTACGCTATGTAATACACCTAAAAGATACACCCATTTAAGATTGTAAATTTATATGTTAATTAGTTGGATGTAATAGATAGTAGACTTGGGCCTATATTTCGTGCTAATTTGTAATGGTCAGCGCGATGTGCCAGTAATCTTAGGCGAATCGATGTTCTTTTTGAAGTTCGAACTCGTGTCATTCAGCCTCATAGTCGGAAATATTAGCGCTAATCCACTCGGGGGCGACTACAGCCCTATAGGACTTATACATTTTCATTTGACTGACCACTGAGTCATGTTCATCGACATATTTTTAGCCCTTAAGTTCCGACGGAATAAAATCTATTGCATTGATACACAAAATAACAGACAATTTAATTTGTGAAATCGATCAGTTTAACAATTTACTTACTTACTTATTCACGCCTGTTACTCCCAATGAAGTACAGGCTGCCGACCAGCATTCTCCAGCTCACTCTGCTCTGGGCCTTCCTTTCTAGCTCTATCCAATCTTTATTCATTATTTTCATATCTGTCTCCATTTCTCGGTGCGATGTGTTCTTTGGTGTTCTTCTTTTCCTCTGGCCTTGAGGATCCCAGGAGATGGCTTGTCTTGTGACACAGCTATGTGCTTTCCTCAATGTGTGTCCTATCCACTTCCAGCGCTTCTTCCTGATTTCTTCCTCCGCTGGAATCTGGTTTGTTCTCTCTCACAGTACGTTGTTGCTAATAGTGTCCGGCCAACGGATCTGAAATATTTTGCGTAGACAACTGTTAATAAACACCTGTATTTTCTGGATGATGGCTTTCGTAGTTCTCCAGGTTTTTGCCCCATACAGTAGAACTGCCTTGACATTTGTATTGAAAATCCTGACCATGGTGTTGATTGACAGTTGCTTTGAGTTCCAGATGTTCCTCAGTAGTAAATATGCTGCTCTTGCTTTTCCGATCCGCGCTTTCACATCTGCATCAGATCCACCCTGTTCACCAATGATGCTGCCCAAATACGTAAAGGTTTTTACATCTTCCAAATCTTCTCGGTCAATTGTGACTGGATTGGTGCGTGCTGTGTTGTATCGGAGAATCTTGCTTTTCTCTTTGTGTATATTGAGACCTACTGCTGCTGAGGATGCTGCTAGACCGGTCGACTTCTGCATTTGGTGTTGTGTGTGTGTTGGAGGAGCCAGATCACCTGTGAAGTCCAGATTGTCCAGCTGCATCCTAGATGTCCACTGTATCCCGTGCTTCCCCTCAGATGTTGATGTCCTCATGATCCAGTCGATCACCAGGAGAAAGAGAAAGGGTGAGGGTAAGCAACCGTGCCTGACACTGGTCTTTACCTCGGACGACTTTGTCAACTGTCCTCCATGCACGATTTTGCAGTTTAA